GGGGGGGGGGGGGGGGGGCATACAGAGGAGTAGTAGGGAGAGGATTACATTCTGTTCAGGTTAAAGCTAAAGGCCAAAGGTCTTCTTTCTGAATTACCTCATGCTACCCTATCTTCTCTTATACTCCTGGGTTCATTTTCCCTGTTTCTTGTCAGGTCAAAGCTAGATTCTCTTCTTAAACTGGGCATTCTATTCCCATCAGCCCTTGAACACTGGCGATCCCTTTGCCCCAGCTTATTAAGCATCTCTGCTCAGAGAAGGGTTAATACGAGTGAACATATGCCTCATGTTACTGGATTAACCCTCCTACTCAGTCTTACCACCAAGAATTGCGGGTAGATCTGTATAACTTCATATACCACTGAGATATATGCTCAGTTCAGGGTTCAATTTAATGTTATATGCACAAGTGCAATGTGCACATCAATCTTAAATGCAAATCAAATCAAATAAAAAATAAAATAAAATAAGAGCTTTCTGTCAAATAAATGTGGTGCTGTAATCAATAAAGACCAAGAACATCTTGACATTAGTGCCTTCCTGTTGAGTCAGTGCAGCATGAAGATCCCAAGAAATTGCCTTTTTGCTGGACACGTTACACTGTTATGTGAACTACAGGGGGTTTAATCACTCAGACAGCATCGTGTTAATGTGCCCCATCACCAGCTCTTCACAGCACATCATGGTGGATCAGTCTGTAATCATTATACAGGTCACAGTATTTTTCTTTGAAACAAAAAAAAAAAATCAGATTCACACATGAGTGAGATGTCCCCACACAAAGATTAGGAAAACTGTGTTAATTGTTTGTGTTGCTCATAACCGGAGTCACTAATCATGCAGATTTACGCTACAAGCTTTGTAGAATTGTACAGTACGAACGTTATTTCCCTTAACCAGGAAATTAACGTTCTTAGAATTGACAAGACAGTTGACCCTGAGAGGTCATCTAAATATCTACAGCGGATCTAAAATATGAATAGTTAATTATAACTAGTTATGGTTAGTTATTCATATTTCACATGAGCTGATTCGTTACATTTATTACTCCTGATAACCCTTCAAAGGTCATACCTTGGCCAAAAAGTAAATCCACACTTCTCTTTTGAATTTTCAGTGCTGCTTTTGGGAGATAATAATAATTCAGTGAAAATCTGTAGAGCATTCTACCATCTGCTGGTTGGCATGATTAAAGTCTTCCGCAATCAGGGACACAGCATCAAGGTAGATACTTTCATAGCTCTTAATATTAGTTCACAAAATGTATTTTCTTGATCTAAATGGGTAGAATATTTATTTAATAGTGAGATATTCAAAGTTGGGACAACAAATCACTTCAGAATGTGTTTTAATCAGGACACCATAAATTTACAGTTAAACATACACCTCCTTAAGCTGGTCTCATCTCATTCTCCATGGTCCGTAATAGTATTTTTATTTTTTTATCTGCCAATTTTAAAAGACTATTGGAGACTAATGTTCATCTCTGGGATGAAAGTTAACTGATGTAACTGACTGTCAATTCAAATCAGTTGTTATTATCATTGTAAACAAATTATTTTGTTTAATTTATTACACAGAGCTATGAAAGATTTTTTTTTCACTACAGAATAAACATAAAAAATGGCATTCCATGGCAGAGAAAAAAAATGAATTCTGAGAGAAAAAAAAAATTGTGAGATATAAAATCACAATTATGAGAAAGTCTCAATTAAATTTTTTAATTTATTTATTTATTTATTTAAAATTGTATTTATTTATTTATTTTTATTTATTTTTTATTCCATGGTGGAAATAAGCTTCCATACTGAATAGTGATTCAATAAAGTAACTTTTTAAATGTTATGGTTATTATCTGTTTTGGTTTGGTTGTCTGTGTTTCCTTTGTCCTGCCTTGTTTGTTTCCATGGTTTTTGATTCATTAGCTCCACACCTGTTTCTGTTTCTCCCTGATTACGTTCCCAGTATTTAAAACCTGTGTTCTCCATTATTCCTTTGTCTGCTCTTGAGTTGATTCCCCTATGTGCTACATGAGTGTCTGCCTGCCCTGTATTTCCCCGAAGCAAAGATTAAAAGACTGTATTTTGAGTTTACACATGTGTCTCCTCGTTCCACCTCTGTAGCCATTACGTAACAGAATAGCAGACCCACAAAGTGAGTAATATTAGCGGCGTTTTTCTTTTTTGTTGTTCTGTTTCTCCCCTCTTGCGGAATGGCAATCCCAGCCGTTCAACTCCTTTGCCTGGAGCAACCGGACCGTTCGCTGGAGGACCATACCAGGGACTTTGTAGATCTGGCGTGCCTTACACACTTCCCGGATTGCTCACTCTGCATATTCTATCACACCAGCCTGAGCGAGCGGTGCAAGGCACGCCTACCCGCGAACGGTCCCAAGGAGGATTTCGCCGCTTTCGTGGAGTGGGTGCTGGAGAGAAATGGACTGTATTTCTCCGTCTGCCCCGCCGAGGAGGACATCTCCAGTCCCACTCACGAACCAGAGACCAGCCAGCCGTCATCCCACTGCACGGAGCAGATGCCTGAGCCCACCGCAAACGGAGAGCCTGAGCCTACCGCGACACGAGAGCCAGCGTGCAAAACCGCGACTGAGCCGATCGTCACCCAGGAGCATGAGCCTCAAGACCGTTCTGACCAGGTGCGTGAGCCGGCAACATCGCCCGTCCCCAAGGGAGTGCTGGTGGAGATCGAGGGCTTGGAGGGAAACCCCGCCCACACTCCCGCCACTGAGGGTGAGCTGCAACTGGTCACTGGACTACATTATGAGGAACTAATGGACTGTTTCAAAGTGGATTTAATAGACTGGTTTGGGGAGGCATTACCCAGTTATCCTAAGTATCCGCTGGTTCCGTCCAGCTCCTGTCCTCCAGTGTCCCCTCCCAGCCTCCCTCTACCGCCTCCTCTTAAAGGACCAGTCAGTTCCTCAGCCCCATCTCCGCTGTTGCCTGTCAGTCCCTCACCCTCAGCGTCATCTGGGCACTCTGATTCAACTAGGGACCTCCAGTCTCCAGCTCTGCCTTGGTGTGAGGATTCCCTGCCTCCGCCTCCAGCCCCTGAGCCCTGGACTCCACCTCGGTCCTTCGACCCTTCGGCTCCGCCTAGGCTCAAAGCTCCCTCGTCTCCACCATGGCCGTTCAGGGAGGGGGTGAACTGTTATGGTTATGATCTGTTTTGGTTTGGTTGTCTGTGTTTCCTTTCTCCTGCCTTGTTTGTTTCCATGGTTTTTGATTAATTAGCTCCACACCTGTTTCTGTTTTTCTCTGATTACGTTCCCAGTATTTAAAACCTGTGTTCTCCATTATTCCTTTGTCTGCTATTGAGTTGATTCCCCTATGTGCTATGTGAGTGTCTGCCTGCCCTGTATTTCCCCGAAGCAAAGATTAAAAGACTATATTTTGAGTTTACACCTGTGTCTCCTCGTCTCCTTGTTCCACCTCCATAGACATTACATAACATTAAATACATTTTTCAAGATGATTAAGATAAAACAGAGC